CCCCAAAACCCCAAAACCCCAAAACCCCAAGATCAAGAGATAAGTGTAAATAATCTGATAGAAAGAGTTGGAACAATCTTATTATCTTAAGGTCAATATACTTGCCTTTAATGAATATATAATTAAAACAAAATGAAAGGAAAAAATAAAAAGAGGAGCCCAAAAGAGTGTAAATCCTAAATGCAATTTAATCTTGTTTTTTTTAGTTTCGACCAAAGATTATTTCAATGCTTATGCTCTAGATTTCAGAAATAATCATTCAAATGCTGAATCTCCTGATAACAGAGGAAGAAATGCACTAAAACCAAATATGAAAAGTTAAATTCCCAATTCAAATGGGAACGCATAGTTATCTTTCTCCAACGCCGCAATGACATTCCAACCTTCATAGAGGCTTGATTCAACTTTGAAGAAAAAACAAATGCCAGGGTTAAATGAAGTACTTGTTAAAGTGGATGAGATTTTTACATAAGCAATGGAAAATTAGAAGAATAAGATTGATTTCTTAAAAGTTGATCTTAAGACATCACCAAGAGATTTTAATAATTAGGAAGTTAATATCACAAGGCTTTATAAGTAAAGACAAGAGCGTGAAATAAAATTAAATCTGAAATTGAAACTTAGCAATAATAGTGAGGGGATTGATCCAAGGACGTTATCCCCTTAAAAAATTGAATAACTTCTTAAAGAATAAGTTGAAGACGAAGTTCCGAAGGTCATATCTATGAGATAGTACCTTGATGGCTTTTGTAAAGACCATAACATAGATATCGACAAAACAGACATGCTTAAGCTTCCAATGCATTTATATTTAGGATCAGCTGAGAATGGAGCCTTCTCAAAATATAAAAAAGGAGGAGCTTTCGATTAAATCAGCAAGAATTAAAAATTTTCAAAGCTAAAGTAGGAAGAGGAACAAGAAAAACTGATAAGGGATAGATTAATGCTTAGACATGGTTTCTCATAGAACAGAAACGAAAATGATCAGCAGTTTAAAACTAAATGGCATTAAAAAGCCTATGAACGAAGAAATTCTTTAAAAAAGAGTAAATCACCCAGAAATTAGCTTCTAAGTCCGGAACGGAGTGTATCAGTTGAAAAAAATTTTTATAACTTGTCTAAAACTACAATTACAACTCCAAGAGTATACACTTAAATCCAACAATCTGAAACATAGGCAACATCTTAAGAATATCAAATCAATAATAATCTACTAAATAATATAACAACTATAAATGACTCGATAACTAATACTTTAGATATGAGTTCTTATCAGGGGATTTAGAAATACTCAGAACAGTCAATTGATGAGAAAGAGCTGCAAAATAGTTTAAAAATAAAGAATCAGAAAATCTATAAAAAGATTAATATGACACTAGTTGATTCAAAGGAATCATTACGTACAGATTCGCCTAAGTAGAAAAGGCAAAAAGCAATATCAATGCTAGGAAAGTCTCCTAAGGATGAAGGAGCTCAGAGGATGAGTCTACCATAATTAGAGAATAGAAGGAACGGTAACTTTACCAAGAGGACTGAATTCGTGAATCACAGTTAGGACATTGTCCTTCCAAGAGTTAACAAATCAGTCAACAACTAACCCTCAACTAAGAATCTTAGACAAAGAGCAACCAGAATCTAATTTATAAGAAATAAAGCTGCAGAAGAAACAAATTTATATTCTCATAGATCAGAATAGTATTCGGGCGATCATCCAAATTCTTAATCATTGCATCATAGATAGGATAATACACATTCACAGCATGAAAAGAAAAAACTTTTGGATTAAATAATCAAATCTTGCTACAAAGAGGCCTAAAAATCTGATCAAGATATGAGGGATCTTGACTATGAGCTTTTGGTTCACAACTTAAAGTAATCATAATTCTAATAAGTAGTTGAGACTTTGAAAGAATTGGAATATGCAACTCCTTAAACAATTCCAGTATTATACAAATATAAAGAAAAAGTTAAGGAGGAAATGGATGACGAGGAGAATGAAGTGAGCAAGGAATATAGATCCGGCAGAATGGATCCTTCTCGAGAAGTAGCACAATTCGAAAAGGGAAGGTCAATCAAGAAAAAAGTAGGCAAAAAGAGAGATATAGAGGAAAGATTCAAACTTATAAAAGAATAGAAAAGTATTATAACAGGTATAAATTATCTTAGTTTAGTCTGAGACAAATATTAATCTAAAATACAACTATACTTAAATTACATTTAATATTTCGCCTAAGGGGTTTTGGGGTTTTGGGGTTTTGGGGTTTTGGGG